GTCTTCCTTTTCACTATTATTTGGTTCATTCTCCTTTTCAGTTCCTTTACCAGAGTTTTGGTACATGGCTGTACTTTAGAGTCTTGGGTCAACTGATCCATCAAGTTCTGTTCCACTTCGTAGTGTGATAGCATTAGCATAACCTTTTGGGTTTGGTTGTGGTTGGCCAGGAAACGTTCCAGCTGAGGCTGTTATCGTTGCTTGTTGCTGGGCTACTTGAGAAATTTGAGTTTCTAACATTTTGTTATGGGTAGCCATAACATCAAGTTTAGTTGCCATTTGCTTCAACAATTCACTCGTGTGTACATTTTGGTTGGCTAACTCTTTGTTTTGTTGAGTTTGAGTTGCAATGAAATTTTCTAATAACAACTTAATGTTTGACTTTCTAGGTGCTTGAAGAGTAGCGGGGGATCCTTTTTGATAGCCTGGAGGAACAACAGGGGCTTGAGTTAGAGCGAACAAAGCATTGTTGCTCTTGTAGGAAAAATTTAGATGATTCCTCCAGTCAGGATTGTAAGTGTTTGAGTACGGGTTTCCTTGGGCGTAGTTTACTTAATCGGTAGGAATACCAGTCAATAAATGACATTCGGCATTACTGTGCCTAGGGGTCCCATACAATTCAATATTCGGTGTCGCAGCAGCCATGATGGCTACTGAAGCTACGGTCAAACTTTCAATCTTTTGAGTAAACGCATCCACTTTAGCACTGACACGGTCTAAACTGTTAACTTTGTACATTCCATTCTTCGTAGTAGATTTTTCTGCAGGAGTTCTCTTACCTCCCCATTGGAAGTGGTTTTGAGCCATGTTTTCAATGAGTTAATAGGCATCTTCATATGGTTTGTCCATCAGAGTGCCGCCAGCTGCAACGTTTAGATTCAACTTTGTGTTGTATAGAATACCATTATAGAAAGTATGGATTATCAACCATTGCTCAAGTCCATAGTGTGAAGAGAGCCTTAGAATATCCTTGTATCTTTCCCAAGCATCAAAAAGAGATTCATTTTCTTTCTGCCTAAACCCGTTGATTTGGGCTCTTAGTATAACAGTTTTGGTAGGCGGAAAATATCGGGCTAAGAAGACTTTCTTCAAATCGTCCCACATAGTGATGGAATTGGATGTTAGAGACTGGAGCCAATCTCTATCTCTATCTCTCAAAGAGAAAGGAAAAAAGATGTAGTCTTATGGCTTCGTTACTAACACCATTTGCTTTTACGGTGTCAGCATATTGCACAAACATAGATAAATAAAGGTTCAGGTCATTTATAGGACTCCCAGAAAATTGGTTCTATTGAACGACTTGTAACAACGAAAGTTTCAACTTGAAATCGTTTCGATTGATGGCAGGGGAAGCAATGCTATTATGTGGTTCATCCTGCAATGAAATAGCGTAATCCTTAAGAGGATGGTTCAGTGTATTCTCAACCATGGGAATTCTTAATTCTGGATAAGGAATTTCAGGTTCAGGAAGATTATACTTAACTCGGAATTTGTGGATTCGGTGTCTTAGGTTAATAAAATGCTTAAAATCATCAATTGGTTGCTCAAGCTTTTTGCCTTGAGAGCGAGTGTTTGGCATACAATCGACGAAGTAGGAAAAATGAAAATTTGGTGCCTTAGTCTATTTTGCGCAATAACGGAATCACAATATTGACTAAATTAGTCCCCGGCAACGGTGCCAAAAACTTGATCGCGCGGCAATGACGTGTCTATCAAATAATAACTGCAAGTATATAGTTGTTCGTGTAGTTTTAAAAGATTGTCGAACCCATAGGGACTAATAATCAAACTAATATTATCTATTGTTACAGTACAAAGCTAAGGCTAAAGGTTAAAATGATAAGAACGAAAATGAAAAATACTAATTGCAAAAGGTTTGAAAACAATGATAAAACAAGTCCGAAATATGGATTCCGTGTTCCTTAACGAATTGTAGAATTCTTGTGCTAATTACGACTAAATCTAGTTCCGTAGAAAAATATCGACTTAAAGACTCCGTCTCACACTCTCGCGCTATTGACAAGATCCACACTTCCTAACCACAGGATTTTGCTCTCGCTCGCCCGTTTCAATTAAAAAGCATATTTTGAAAATCAATAAGATCCTAAATGATGCCTAAAGTGCTCTCGCTATTTTTAGGATTGTTGCCTAGTTTCCACTATCCGGTTCATTCCTCACACTCTCGCGCAACCGGCCTAAACCTTAGTTTGTTTTTACACTCTCGTGTCAAAACAATAAATCATACAATTGGAAACTACAACCAAAACAACATATAATCATAAATTCACACCTATATTTTGCTACGGAGTCCCGTTGGTAACGACGGTCCTTATACGCCGAACTCAAGTAAATTTAGCAATACATAACTTTAACTAAAACTAACATGATTAGAGCAATTAAACTTAAAACTAACATGTCGTAAAATAGTATAAAGCAATAACAAATGCAAGTAAATAAACAATAAAAACCTGAAAGTTAAAGAACTGGAACTTGTATTAAAAAGAAAATGTTGGCAGGCTTGCTAGCAATCCAAGAGTATAATACAAAAAAAGAAAAAGGAAACAAATGCAACAATCTTTCGATGTGAGTTATTGTCGCTTTTACAAGTAATTTATGCTTAATTCTAAAATGAAAGTCGACAACATTTCCGCATATCTTGGATTCCTTGGAAACTTCCTCAGAGGGCCTATATATAGAGAAAATGGCCTTGGTAACTGTCCTGGTCGTGTCAGAAAAGTGGAAGGAAGAAGAGTTGACAAAAGCTGCTTGAAAAACTGCCTCCGTTGCAGAACTGTTGTCTGCAACCCAATGGTAAACGCCACTACCTCTTCATTAGTTGACGTGGCATGGGCTGGCAATGGCGAATACCATATGGGGGCGACGAACGCCATATAAGTAAAATAGGAAGAACAACACTTTTTGCTATTCTTTTGCTCTCTTTTTGGTTTGCTTTTTAATCTGCATTGAATCTAGCTGACAACTGCAAAACACATAAAAACAAAACAAAAGGTGATAAAACATAATAAAATACGGACAAGATACATGCGCAATAAGCCTAAAAACATGATATAATTTATCGTTATCAATATGCTGAAATCATCAACAATGACCAAACTATATTTCTTCCTACTAATCAAAGCAGTCCCAATAGAACCAAATAAATCAATTTGAAGTAATTATAAGGGTCTAGAGGTAGATAAAATGTTTTTAGTTTTAAAAGAGGTTTTCAAAGTCTTTCAACTTGACATGCTCCACACAAGGCATTTGAGTGATAGTCAAGACCTGACAGTCACTACTAGAAATAAGACATTTGGTTAAATGACTTTACATCATATTTCAAGATTTTATAATAATATGAAGTGAAAAATATTTGATTTAGGGATTTTATATTAGACATTTATTTCCACAGATGTGAAACATAACATGGTGGCAGTTTCGTAAATAATAAAAAAATTTGTTATAAAGGATTTCACATCGGGCTTGGATTTGCACCCGATGTGAAGCGTTCACTGGTGAAAAAATAATAAGGTGGCAGTTTCATAAAAAATATGAAGTTTTGTTATAAAGGATTTCACACCAGGCCTAGGTTCGCACCCGATGTGAAAAGTTCACTGATGAAAAAATAACAATAAAGGATTTTACATCGGTCCTAGATTTGAACCCGATGTGAAAAAGTGGCCTTTACATCGGACCTCTTTGCAACCGATGTGAAAACTCCAAAAATATCATTTTTCTCCCAACAGACCAAACACATTCTTCTTTCTTCCTATACGAAACCCTTAGACTTGACCACTGCATTTCTCTTCCTCATCTCTTACCACCGCTATTTCTCACTTCTCACTCCCCTCGCCTAATAACAATTTCCTCCATCTAACCTCATAGTTTCCTCGACCGCCTCCACGAAGCATAACAGAAGCAGTGCATTCGCGACCTCAATCGTCACTCACTCGTCCCACCGTTGCCCACTCGTCCCACCGTCGCTCACTCGTCCTTGATCGCCACCTTCGCTCACTTGTCCGTGGTATCCTCCGCGAAGCAGAACAAAAGCAGTGCAACCGCGATCTCAACCGTCGCTCACTCGTCCCACTGTCGCTCACTCGTCCTCGATCACCTCCGCAAAGAAAAATAGAAGCAGCGCAACCACGAGCATTACGGTAATGATTCTTGTTGTATTTGTGTTGATTTTATGCTGATGATATCCAATATTTTGCAGTTTCAATTTCGACTATAATGTTGCTTTTCAGTTGGGGTTCTATTGATATTATATACTAACCAATCTTGTTGTAAATATCTTGCGAATGTGTGTCAAAACTATTTTTCCGGTGTGCTTGTTGCTGCCATTTTATTCTACAAGTGTTTGAATGCCGAATTCGCGAATTTTAAGTTTCACTAGTGCTTAGTGGATGATGATATTGATTTATTTCATATACAGTTGTTTGTATAGATTTCAGCTATGTCACGATTATAGTTATAGGTTTGTGAGCTTATAAATTAGGAGTGTTATTATAATGCCGCGACTTGATGTTTATATCGTTTTACCATTGAATAAATATTGATCAAATTGATGCTATATTGTTTAAACCAAATGATTTTCAAGTTTCTGATGGATAACATGTTTATTGTATTTTTGATTTGGTTATACTACAATATAGTTTGTTTATCTTGTATGAGATCGAATTAATGTGATTCGACGAGAAGTTGATTTTAGAGATTTTGTTCTCTCTAATGTGTCCAAAAGAAGGACTATTGTAAGCGTCCCAATGATTTAACTTTGTATGCATTAATTTCGGAATATGGGTATGGATCATAGTTGAATGAGAGCTAATCAATTAAATACTGAGTACGAACATTGAGTGATGGAATTTCTACAGTTTGCTGAAAATAATGCTAAAAATCTTCCTCCTCCTAAAAGTAATGCTGGAAAAAGTCATCATGTGCCTTTTCTCCGTCCATGTGTTCGTTGTGAAAATTAAGAACCAAGACTTAATAAGAAATAAATCATGGATCATATAATTTGTGAAGGGATTTGTCAAAGTTATACACAATGGATATGGCATGGTGAAGTAGTAGCAAAGTCAAATGTGTCCCAAAGAGATAATGTTAGTGTAGAAATGGATGATAGTCTGGAAGACATGATGCGTGATATTGGACAAGATTTGTTTAAGAGGGCACATGCGTATGATACTTTCTGCAGTGACAAGGATAAACCTTTGTACTCGGGATGCACAAATTTTACACATTTGTCAGCCGTGTTAAAATTATTTAATTTTAAGGCAAATAATGGTTGGACTGACAAAAGTTTTACTGAATCACTTGAATTGTTGACACAAATGCTTCCAGAAGGTAACATAATGCAAAATCATTATTACGAGGCAAAGAAATTATTGTGTCCGATGGGTTTGGAGTATGCCATGCCCTAATCATTGCATATTATACATAAAAGAGTATGTAAACTGTAATCATTGTCCGAAGTGCAAGGCATCACTCTACAAAAAGAAAGATGGCGATTCTAGTGATGATGAGGTGGTTAAAAAGGGTCTTCCTGCGAACGTGGTATGGTACCTACCAATAATTTCAAGGTTCAAGAGATTATTCGCTAATGCAAATGATGCAAAGAATCTTAGATGGCACGCAGAAGAAAGAAAATGTGGTGGAAAAATTCGCCATGTAGCTGATTCTTTGCAATGGAAGAAAATAGATTCTTTGTTTCCAAATTTTGGCAAAGAGTCGAGAAAACTTAGACTTGGACTTTCTACTGATGGAATGAATCTATTTGGTAATTCAAGTACTAACCATACTTCTTAGCCTGTTCTCCTAATAATTTATAACCTATCTCCTAGGCTGTGCATGAAGCATAAATATATTATGTTATCGATGATGATTTTGGGCCCAAAGCAACTAGGAAATGATATAGACGTTTATCTAAGTCCACTGATTGATTATTTAAGAGTGTTGTGGGAGAAAGTGGTGGATGTTTTTGATGCGTATTCTGGGGAACAATTCAATATGTGTGGCATGTTATTTTGCACCATCAACGATTTTCTGGCATATGACAATTTGTCTGGGCATAAAGTTAAAGGGCATAAAATGTGTCCTATATGTGAAAAAGACACATGTTACCATCAACTTGAAAATGAAAAGAAGACTGTTTATCTCGGGCATCGAAAATTTCTAAATTGTTATCATCCATATCATAGATTGCGGAAAGCTTTCAATGGGGAACAAGAGTATGGTGTTGCTCCAAAGACCTTAACTGGAGAGGAAGTTTATAAATGATAACAGGGCATTAAATTTGTCTTTGGAAAGTACCAAAAGCAATCTACTATGAAAAATATATGGAAAAAGAGGTCGTTTTTCTTCGATCTTCCATATTGGTTTAGCCTTGATGTAAGACATTGTATTGATGTGATGCACGCGGCAAAAAATGTATGTGATACTTTAATCGGAACACTTATCAACATTCAAGGCAAGAAAGATGGTTATAATGCTCGTCTGGATTTGGGTTTGATGGGTATACAAGAAGAGTTAACTCCACAACATATAGGTAACACGATATATTTGCCTCCTGCCTGCTACACTTTGTCTAAAAAAGAGAAAACAAGTTTTTGTGAGTGTTTACAAAGTATTAAAGTGTCACATGGTTACTCATCAAATATCAAGAGGCTTGTATCAGTTAAAGATCTCAAATTAATTGGCTTAAAATCTCACGACCGTCATGTCTTAATGCAACAGCTACTACCAATGGCTATTTGTAGGATATTGCTTAACAGTGTTAGGAAGACTATAACTAGGTTGTGCTTGTTTTTCAATGCAATTTGTTGTAAAGCCATTGGTCCGTTAAAGTTAGACAATTTGGAAAATGAGGCTGCAGTTATCTTGTGCCAATTAGAGATGTATTTTTCTCCTTTATTTTTTGACATTATGGTTCACTTGACTATTCATCTAGTAAGGGAGATTAGATTATATGGTCCAATTTATTTATGGTGGATGTATCCAACAAAGTGATACATGAAGATCTTAAAAGGGTATACAAAAAACCCACACCGTCCGAAAGCATCGATTATTGATAAGTACATTGCAGAAGAAACAATTGAGTTTTGTTCAAACTATTTGTCAGAAGTGGACGCTGTAGGGGTTCCCAAGTCTCGTCATAATGGAAGATGTGAGGGTGTGGGTACACAAGGTTTAAAGGTCAAGATCTTAAGTATTGAGGTTGTTGTTCAAGTACATTTATATATATTGAATAACACGGATGAAGTTCAACCTTACTTATCTGCTCACAAAAGCATCATAAAGAAAAAGTACCCCAAGACGAATGAAATAGGGTTGTTAAAAGAGCATAATAAGAGTTTCTCTGAGTGGTTTAAAGAAACAATTACTAATGATGATAGTGCTTCTAATACAATTAAGTGGTTGCCCTATGAGCCTAAATGTAACATGATAACTTGGAGTGGATATGATATTAATAAAACTTCCTTTTATACAAAGTCAAGGGATGACCGTAGTACCATGCAAAATAGTGGGGTTATGATTGTGGCCAAGTCCATGCACTTCTCTAGTTCTAAAGATAAAAACCCGGTTATGGCATCTATACCCTACTTTGGGGTGATTGAAGAGATTTGGGAAGTTGATTATGTTGTGTTTAAAGTTCCTGTATTTAAATGAAAATGGTGACATCAACAGTGGTGTAAGAATTGATGAATTTGGATTTACACTGGTAGATCTTAGCAAGTTAGCTTATGCAGACGAACCTTTCATTATGACATCTCAAGAAAAAAAAGTGTTTTATGTCAGAGATCCTTATAATAAAAGGTGGTCAGCGGTTATACAAAGAAAGGCGCATGGTAGTGATGAAAATCAAGATGCGAATCTTGATATTTCTGAAACTCCTCCTTTCTCAACAAATGTGCCTACCTTCATTGAAGAAAATGAAGAGGATGATGTGCATGTTATTCGCATAGATCATGAAGAAAAAATATGGGAGAACTAATAAGGTTTTTTTATAAGTTAATTCGACATTACTTTGATTTCTAATTGTTTTTATGTTGTGCTTAATTTGATATCTAATTGTTTTTATTTTGTGCTTAATTTGATTTCTAACTATTTTTATTTTGTGTAAACAGATACATGGCTGATTCAATCGACAACCCTTCTTCATCTAGTAACCCTAATAAAAGAAGAGTTAGAGGTCCCACTATGATGGCACAAATTGACAAAGTTCATCAAACGGGTGAAAAGATAAAGGTTGTGTTTGATCCAAGAACCTATGAATGTACCGGTGTTGGTAAAAATGCTTTAACTTTTAGGAGTTATGTAGTATCTCTTGCTCGGAAGAGATGTAGTATTTTGATAGATGAGTGGAAAGACATACATAAAGACATAAAAGATGATATTTGGGTTGATGTTAAGGTATTTTAAATTTAACACTTTATTATATTTTATACATATACTAACAACATATGCCATATACTAACACCAAAATCTTTATGTATGTGTGTAGGCTCATTTCACTATTCCAGAATGTGATAATCCAAAGAAGGATCCGTTGAAGGATGAATGGATTAAATATGTGGGAGAGCGATGGAGAGGTTTTAAGACATAACTCACAAAAGAATATATTATAAATCCCAAAGAAGGCCACCCTCCTGCACATGTCAGGTATAATTATATTAAAGAAAAAATATGGAAAGAGTTTCTGAAGTCTCGAGATACCCCTGAATTTAAGGTTAATAGGAGTTATATATTTTTTTGTGCATAACATTTTTATTATGTTTAGTGATTAATACCTTTTTGAGTTTATAATAGGGAAAAAGTTAAAAGGGTATGGAAAGTGTGGCTGAGAACGTATACCCACACGTATTATCTCGTGAAGGGTATCGCTTTCTTGTGGAGAAAATGAAAAATGAAAGGAGATTATCGAGAGATGATTCCACATTAAATGATAATGGTAGTCCATCTCCACTGTCACGCCATGAAGTATGGAAGAGAGCACGACAAAATAAAGGGGGAGAATACACATCAAAGTCTACACAAGTTGTTACTGAGAAAATTGTAAGTAAAATTTATAAAATACTTCAAGTATCATTATAGTTGTAATTGATAAAAACTATTAAAATTAGTTTTGCTTTTTGAATTTTGTAGGATTCTCTAGTTGAAGAAGCTGAAAAGGGTGCCATTGTTTCGGATGGACGTAACAATATCTTAACAGCAGCCATTGGAACATCTGAGCATGGAGGTTGTGTTCGTGGTGTTGGAAAACACCATAAAATTATCACTTTCTTTGGAATGTCATCTTCATGTCAACGATAACATATATATGTAAAAGAACAACTGGCACAATTTTCATATGAATTGGAAGCAAAACTTAGAGCTGATTTTGATCAAAAGTTGGTTGAATAGCGTAAGGTGTTGCAACAATCTTTTATGGAGACACTTAGGTCTATGGGTTTCTCGCAGAGGAAAAAATAATAAATGCATTGAACAAATGGAAGTTGTCGATGGAAGCGGAAAAGGAAGTTGTTTAGCTGCAAAAGGAAGCACAAAAGAAGTGGAAGACGATGTTCAGAGATTGTTACTCATGGTTCTGAAAATGGGTGACACACATTTGAAAATAAAATTAAGTCATTGTGTGAGTGTAATTAATTTTTATAAGTCAGCTAAGTGTATCAGAGAGTTGTTAGTGGATTTTCATTGGCTTGACGTGTCTACTCTGCAAATTTGGTGCACATAAGTACATTTTCTTTTTTTTTTTTATTACTGTCAATATCTATTAATATGTTGTATCTCTCATCACTTTGATTCTAATGTTTATTTTAAAATTATTCAGGTATAATCATCGTGTATGTATTGATAATTCCACATCAGAAGTATATGAATTTATGGACCTTGCTAGGTGTATGTATGTTGATAATGTGCCGAAAACTGAAGCAGATGTTAAAAAATACATACAAGATAAGTTACGTGACGAAAACAGAGTCTGTCACTTACTACCATTTATTCATGGGTAAGTTTGTATGAAATTGTGTTTTCTATTTTTTTAACTTTGATAACATAGATATTTCATGTGACTTTTGTGTTTCCGCACACACGTACAGAGATCATTGGCAATTAATAATCATTTGTCCAAGAGACAATATTGTGGTCGTCTTTTGTTCACTTTATCGAGAACTTAATCAAACCATGAGAAAAATTGTTACAAAGTAAGTTTATCTTTTATGTGACTTTTGTTATAATATATTATATATCCTATATACATAAATTGTTACAAAAATAATTTCATATTTTATGTGGCTTTATATGGATTTTTTTTTTTGAATTAGTGTTTTTGGGGTTTATCAAATGGCAAATGGAAATAGAAAAAAGGCTACATGGCTTCAATGCAAAGTAAGCATGGTGTAAATTATAATTCTATATTTAATTT